TCCGGGCAGGGGTGCTCCGGGCAGGGGTGCTCCGGGCCCGGGGCTGACCCCGCGGGCCTGACCTGCGGCCCGCTCGGAGGACAGTGAGCCGGGAGGCGGCCCGCCGGCCCGCAGGCCTTTCTGAATGTGATTTTTTTAAACTCACTGCTTTGAATGTCTCACCGTCAGCAATGGGAGAGACAGTCAAGGCGTGCGTTCGACTGCTGACATGCATCACTGGAGCGGGGGCGCCCGGAGCGCCCCTTCGCTGAGTGTCTACCTCAGTCCGCCGGGCGCACTGGACGGCGCCCTTCCCCAGCCCGGCGTGCCGCCGCCCACCACCACCACGGCGCGCCTGCGTGTGTGTGTGTGTGTGTGTGTGTGTGCGCGCGCGCGCGCATGTGTGTGTATGTGTGTGTGTGCGCGCGCGCACGCGGGCCCGCCAGGGAGCTGCGCAGGGTGTACCTGAAGCTCTGGTTTTCTTAAAAAAACGACACCGCCGTCCGGGGTAGCTCGCCCCTCCGGCGCGAGCGAGGCCTGTTGAAGACGTGGGCTGCTCGAGGAAACAAGCGGGTCTTCGCCTGCGCGCAGGAATCCCACTCCGAGGCCGCCACGGCCACGGCCACCTGGCTCCGCCTGGTACTCAGCCGTGGTTGCACACTCATGCAGAAAATCGGTCCTTAAAGAAAATGGTTAGGATTTTCTCTCTTCTTTATCCCAGTTTAGATTAAAAGGGGAAAGAAATCTCATAAAATCTTAACAATGAAGATAAGTGCAAGAGTAGACAGCAACATAGGCTGGGGATGTAGCTCAGTGGCACAGCGCCGGCCTGGGCAGGGCAGGCTCATGAGTGCCACTCCTGGTGCCACAAAAACAGTACAGAAACATGGACTTGAGGCCATCGGGGCTCGCAGTGCCTTCCAGTAGACGTTAGGAGATTCTTTGCCTTAGACCTGTTTAATATTCATAAAGTCATTTGGGACAGGATTTCACAAGTTGTCACGGCTAGTCCCACAATCCCAGCACTCGGGAGACGGAGGCAGGAAGATCACCTCGAGTTTGGGCTACATAAGCATAACCCTGTCTCAGAAAAGTTGCCTTAAGAGTTTCTTGTCTATTGTCAGTAACTATTTTTATGTGCAGTATTTTACCAAATATTTTTTAAATGCAGGTTTTTTTGAGGTTTATTCAGAGTTCTACCAACCTATTTGTCCTACTTTCTTGAATTCTTAAGAGAATTCAGTATTCTGTGTGTAATCAATACTGTGAACGAGGAGTACTAGCTCCAAGAGTGAGTTAATCCTCTTGCTGGTTTGAAATCAGTAAATTGTTTACTCAGCCACCGAAGCACAGGCCTTTCCTCCTGGAGACAGTCACCTAGGTGCCCAGGGGGAGGGGACGGGAATGGGACACGTGACGCAGCCCACAGACCCACAACCTTTGACAAGTACTCTCTCAGATTTTCTGACAATGCCCTTTGAGCCTCATTTTAAAAGGGATCTTACTGGGTTTCTCTTTCAGGTCTGGTTTGTGGGTGGGGCAGGGTCATGTTAAGTGGTGTTCTAAAATCAAGAGTTTGGTGGATGATAATCCCAGTGTCATCTCCTATCCTAATGAATGATGATACAGGGTTTGGTTTTTTTTAAATGTTTAAAGGCTGTATTTTGTGCCAAACCGGATGTCCTGGGACGCGTGCCAACGCGAAGCCCGTAGCCTGTGAGCAGCATCCACCCTGCGCGGTCACCGCCAAGTGGAAATGCAGAGCTTCAGGTGGGCAGTCTGGGCACACAGCCTGCTCCGCTGGGGCTCCTCTTTTATACTACCTCCTTTAACCTTGTGCTAGTGTTATTTTTCGTGGACTCAGGGAGTATTTTGTTACTTTTGAGCTGCCCCGTGGAAGTGTGGGCAGATTGACAGGGTATGGTGTTAGGCATTTCTGAGTAGAGCTGTATGGGGCCAGCCTGTCAGTAGTGAGAACAAGGCGGCAGCACAGTGAGGCTGGCCAGGTGGAAAGGGGAGCGGTTGTCAGTTGGCGTCAGCCTCCCTGCCTGGACGGTCTGGAGAAAGAAGTCGTCTTCCTTTGGTTACTGACAAGGAGGCCCCTCGTTTTGATAGATGTTTAGGCTATAACTTTGCTAACTACCAGTATGTTTTTACTTTTTCCTTTTGTTCTTACACAGATTTTTTTCATAATTATTCTGGTACCAAAGAATTTTCAGTAGAAAGTGAAATTTTGATTATAATTCCCCAAATTGAATTAACCAGAAACATCTATAGATATGAAGTATATACAAGTAGTTACTAACCCAAAACGATAGGGTTTATATTGGTTGTTGTAGTTTAGTAGGTTAGGAATGTTGACTACCTTCTCGTTACCAGAGCATTTAAAATAAATTATAATACTTTCTTTATCAGCAGATAGTTCCAAAGAATTTCAAGTATAATTTTTTTTTCTTCAGCAAGTAAATCTTCAACTCTACAGTATTAAAGTTTTTTTTTTTTTAATTGTTGAAACTACTTGTTGGAGAGAAAAAAAAGTCTGTTCACCAAAAATAAACATTTTGGTGTCATTGGATAAGGTGTTCAGTGTACGGCAAAGACCTCTATTACTTGGACACCGCAAGGTTCTCTGATGTCTGACGTGTGAAGCTGTGACAAGAATGTGGGTCACTCGCTGTCGCCGGTGTGACTCAAAGCCTTCTGCACCGAGGGGCACATTCACAATGCTCACTGGCCCCCTTTCAAAGATGTATTTTGCTGAGTACCAATCCATGCCTGTCATTTTTATGCCAAATGTTACAAGATACTGCTCATCAGTATTTTCATACCAAAGACCACTAAAATATATAGTTTAACCTGTAATAAGTTAAGATGAGCAGATTTGCAATAAATTTATTTAGAGTATATAGAGAATCTAGCTTTTTTAGCAAAAGATATCAAAGGGCTAAGTTTACATAAAGAAAAGCAATAATTATATTGGTATTTATCAGTTTTTATTCAAATACTTTATATCAGCAAATTAAAAAGAAAACCAAAGATATTTAAGGTTTCCTCTGCATAGAGACCAATTAGTTGTACAGTAAAATGTTTCCTGTGTCTGTGTTAACCACACATCTCTCCAGAGCCCAGCCTGTGGGCAGACGGCAGACACAGGACTCCCCATGACATCTGCTGATTCAGCCCGGGCGGTTTTTGCCAGCTGCTGTGGCACTTTACTAAGCACCCTCAGTGTGAGATGCCAACAGCAATAGCAGCAGCTTTTCCAGTTCAGAGTATTAGAGTGACCCGGAGTTACCTGAAGAGTCCTGCTAACTCAGAGGGCTTCAGGCCTCGTGCTGTCAAGGGATCTGACAGACAAATCGTGTCACTGCTTAGGTGCACTGTGCTTCAGTAGCTGTGCTCCTCAGCGTTGCTGGAATGAAATTTAATTACTAAATTGAAACGTTTCACTGTGCCTAAGGAGCCTATTTTCAAAAACCTTGGGTGAAGGGAAAATGTGTTTTGTGAAATCTGAAGATTTATGTGGTGATTAACTGACTTAGGTACTAAGTGACCTTTAAAAATAGCTTTGACACCCCAAGGAAATTAGAGCCCTGGTGTGCTTCTTGGGCTTCGCAGGCACAGGCAGGGCCTGCTGGGAAGAGGGGCAGTGACGGCCCGGTTGGGAGCCAAGCGGTGAGTGGTTTGGGGGGGTTCTGCCAGGGACGAACTTGCTCCTGGCTGACCGCTCAGGGTTAGGGTCCAGGTCCCCGTGAAGACACCTTTGAAACTGTACAGACTCACAGGCAGAATTGAAAGCATCGGTTTTAAAGTGTAGGAATACCTGATCAGGCTCCACTTCAGCCTAGGTTATTTAGTGATTTGTACCTCATTGAATGTAAAGTTTGAATACTAGATGTAAGTCTACCTGTACTGGAAGAGTCAAGATCCTTCCAAGACTAAATGTGTGTTTTTCAGACTTTGTTCTTGAGCATCTCCTACCTGGGTCTCTGATAAAATTACCTTGGTTTAATCATCAAAATACTTTGCAGGCTGTGAGCACAGCAGGTTCTGGAGACCACCATCTAAACCAGTCACAAATGGTGAATTTTACTGACAGGAGAACATAACCACGGATTTCTGGTCAGGACGCAGGATCGATGGCTAAGGCAGTGTGTGTGTGTGTACAGGCTTCCAGCTTCTTTGCTCCTTTTAAACATTTGAAAGTGTTAAGGATGACAGTCTTTCATTTTTACCCAAAATTATTGTTTTTCTGTTGCTCCTGTAACACATTACTATGAATGGCTTTGAACATCACAATAGCTTTGAACAACACCAGTTTATTCTCTTACAAGTCTCAAGTCAGAAGCCTGACACAGGCCTCCCTGAGGCAGAATTAGGGTGTTGGTGGAGCCTTGCTGCAGGCTCTGGGAGACACCCCTCCTTCTTTCCCAGCCCACTAAATCTGTGAGTGAGCTCCGCTCTTCAAGTCCAGCAGCATGGGGTCTCTCTGACCCCACCATGGAAAAGTTCTGCAGCATTAAGGACTCGGGTAACCAGACAAGGCCCACCTTAGATCCAGGCTAACTTGCTGTCTGCAGCCCCGTGGCTTCCTGCACCTGCAGTTTCTTCTGGGCTTGGGGCGTGGACCTCTGTGAGTGGCCATGACACCATCATCTGCAGTGGCCACAGTGCTTCAGTGGGATTTTGGTTGCTGTAAAATACCTGTTGCATTGAAGAGCTGAAAACCTGAGGTCACCTGCTCTGAAAAGTCTTCCAAATTCTAAGGACATAAAAAGCTTTGACTTTGTAAGGTATCAAAAGCACACCCAGCCAAGTGTAGCTGTGATGCCTGCAATCCCAGCGACTCAGGACCTGAGGCAGGAGGGCCCCAATTCAAGCCAAGTCTGGGCAACTTGGACCCATAATTTGTGGTGCACAGTGAAGCAACAGTTCTTTAAAACTTAAAGTTGCTTATAAATAATTATAATCCTGCAGTCACTTGTGTGAGGCTGTGAGACGCGTTTTACAGATTTTGTGCTTTGTAAGTCAGCACCTCCCATTCCACTTTCCAGTTAATATGAAAATGTGTCTCCTCTCCGAGCAACAAAACAGTGCCAGAAGGGTCGCGAGTGACGCAGCCTGGGCTTCCGTCACTCGTCTGTAATGTGCGGAGGCCCCGGAGGAGGCAGGGCCTGATGGCTCTTTTCAGACCGCTAAATCTGAAGCCATCTTATTCCAGTTTAGACATGGTTTCTTGGCTTGTAAAGTATTAGAGGAAAGTGCACATTTCGGGTTCTCTTCTAACAAGTCTGCATATTCGAGGTTGTGTGGGGCAATACACATTTTGCAAGGTGATCAGGATGAATAAATTTCATGTAGAGCAGTGCAGACCAGACTGCCCCCTAATTCTCATTTATTCACATCTGCATTTAAGGCTCTTTGGAAAACTGATATGGCTGTCATCTTTTTTCTAAGAGAAAGGAATTTCCCTAACATTTCTTGGGTACCATCCCCTGTAATTCTTACTATAACCCATAAGGTTCTGAAAGCTTTACAGATTTATATCTTACAAATTGTTCATGGTATACAGATCCAGTCTTGACTTGCAAATTTTAATTTTTACAATTTGTTACAGAAACTTACTTTGCTATCTATGGAACTATCTTTTAAAATGCCAAAACTATTTTTAAATTTTACCTTAA